CTTGCAGTAACAGTCCAATGCTTCACCCAACCCTTCACCAGAGCTTCGCTGTGAGTCGGCATTGACTCGCTGGCAGAGTTTGGTGGTCTGAGTAGACACTAAATTTTCCATACACCCCACCCCCACCCCGGAAGGATGGGAGCAGGATGCAAGCTCCCTGGAAAAGGATCTTGCGAGTCTGGGAAGTTAGGGCTCTCTGCCTTGACACTTACTTTCTGATGCCGCCCCCGTCTCTCAGGATGCCCCGCGTGTCCCTATCCACAGTGAGATTTAGGAGCACACCACAGGCCGAGAAGCAAATGTCCTGGTGCTTCGCATCCAGCAGGGCGATCATGAACTTGTGCACTGTGAGGGTGGAGAGCAAACACAGACCTGTGAGCTCTGGGCCAGGCTGCAGTCTTGTCTGACAACAAGGTAGTGAGGGGCAGAGCCAGGAACCTCGTGAGTGGGCTTGACCCAGCGCTGGGGCCCCCCACCCCCAGCACTCCCAGCACCTCCCCGCAAGGCCCTCTGCCCCCAAAGATGCTGCTCTGTTGTGCCCAGGCTACAGCCCTCGCAGGGCAATGATGTGTCCCTGCTGCGGGAAGGAGGGCACGCAGGCCTCCAGTCACAGCGTTGATGCTCATCTTTAACTTCTCGCTGTCCTTGGGGGGTCCTTTTGGTACCCCAGAAGCAGTTCCCCCCTAAGCGCCCAGCCCCAGGGGCTCGGGCTTCTGCAGACATCTTCCACAGCTCCTCGCGTGGATTCCGACTCAGGGTGACTCTATATAGGGTTCCTGGGACTGTGAATCTTTCGAGGAGCAGGCAGCCTACCCCAGATAGGTTTGAACCGCCAACCCTGTGGTTAGCGGCCCCCTTAAGGGAGAACCTGGGGGCTAATCACGAGTACAAGCAAGAAGCAAATGCAGGAAAGTTGACAGTGGCCATGAACACACAACTCCTTTTTGAACCATGGAATCATGTGATATGTGAAGAATCCTCCAAGGAAACAGTGTTTTTAAAAAAACAAACGTACACACGAGTGTCATGTGTAACTTCCACCATCTTTTGTTGTTGTTTGGCTTCCATTAGCTGTTAATCCTCCTTTCCCGTGACCTCGATGAAGTCACCCCCGGGCGTACTTTGAGAGTATCAGTGCGCCCTCCCTTTGGAACCGCATAAATGAAAACCTGGAAGACCAGCAGGGCCCCTGCCCAAGGGTGACCCCAGAGTGCAGGGAGCGCTCACTCAGTGTACTGGAAAGTGCCTAAGGGAGGTAGACCAGGGTGTTAATGGGGTAAGGGAACGAGGGGCGATGGTGTGTGTCTTCTTCCTTTTAAAATTATTATCCAACGTTTCTATCAACAGGGATTTCTTTGTCCCTCTCCAGCCCCCCACGGCTATGAATTAATTAGAGACACATAGAGGTATGCCACAAACTTGTGTGCCTGCACCATTAATACATAAAGCCTTCCAGGAGGAACTTTATGTTTCGGGGCACCCCCTCCCCTAGTTCTCGCTCTTCTCTCAATGTAGAGCTGCATATGATTCTGGGCGAGGACCATGAGACCTGGGTAACACGTCTGTTCCCTGCACGTGTCCGAATTGCTCCATCATCACCGGCAGTTCTGCCTCTCCATTGTGCCTGTCAGCTTTACCCACACTGCCAGGTAACCCTGTAGTTGGCTGCCTTTCATTGCATGCATGTCCCATCAGCCCATAGCCATGGGCTAATGGTAAGGACAAGTCTCAATGACTCCTATCCTTTAAGCATGCACTCACCCCACCCCCCAACTTGGCACCCAGAGAAAGGCCTCTGCACACCACCTGGAACCACCCTGGCATCCTGAGCACCACACGTCCCGGGCCCAGGCCAGAGCTCAGAGCCACTTGGGTCACACCTGGCCTGGAGTGCCCAGCAGCTTCGAGGGCAAGTGTCATTAGCTCACCGTTTTTCTGCACGATGAAGTCGCAGATCTTGCGGGACTGGGAGAGATTCCCAAACACACGCACAGCCTCCAGGATCCCATCCATGTTGGTCGTCACCAGGAGCTTTAAGAGCACTGCGTCGGGTTGCCAACGAAACAAAACCCGGGAAGTTAAGCCTCAGCGTAAAGGCTACTGCCAGCAATCAACAAATGCCTCGACATCAGTAACTTTCACATAAGGATAACAGGCACACTGTAAGGGAGTTCCGCAGGAAGTCGGAAGAACCTCCTTTTCCCCAGAAGAATAATTAAGGTTTGGGTCTTAGACTTAACACAGGCTCTAAACCACTGCTACCCCCACGTCAGCAAACAGGGACGCACCCAGCTCTGAGTTCAGGGAATAAGATCAAAGCCAAGCAACCGCGTGCCCAAGCCGGTCTCGGCAGCCTACTTACACTCAGCAATGTACAGCTGTTTGTCGTGAATGACGGAGTTCTTCACCTGGTAGTACGATAAGTTGTTGAGTGTCACCACCGCGTTGATTACCAGCTCCTCACAAGCATCGATGGATTTGTATTCTGAAACAGAGTATGGGCCAGGGCGTCAAGGACGTCACCACTGAGAGCCGGCAGGGCCGGGGTTTTCCTGGACCAGGGCTATGCAAGAGCCCCTGGTTTCCGGGCAGTCTTGCACAGGGAGATGCATCCTACCCCAGGCCGACACTGGCAGAAAGAGCCCCTCCGCTCAGTCCCTCCAGCTGGGGGTTAGGAAAAGTTGGGCCCTCCTAGGCCTTGTCTTTGCAGAAGCAGGAGGCTAGCATTCCAGTGGGTAGAAGGCAGCTCTCGACCCCAGCCTGGCATCCCAAGCCCTGAGGCTCTCCCAGCGCCCCTGCCCTGGAGTCTGGTCCACACCCCAGCCAGCTCCCAACAGAAAGGAGGTCACAGACCGTCCTTCACTCCTTACAACTCTGCCTTCCAAACACGCAGACTCTGCCCACGTCTCAGCACCTGCCTCCTCTCCCAGCCTGGTCCCCTTCACCTCCTCACTGGCTTCTCTTCTTCCACCTCTGCCTTCTGAAGTCTATCCTCAACACAGGGAGCCTCAGAGGGAACGTCCCCGATATCCCGTTTCACAGATGAGAACACTGAGGCTCAGAGTACTCTGCCTGACTTCACAGAGCGGGCATCTGAATCCAGGCCCGACTCTCCTGCCCTGCTCTTTCCACAACACCGTGCAAGGTGTCATCAAGGACCCATGGGGGCCACAGGGGCGACTCTGTACCCTCGCAGCCCTAGAGACTGGCTAGACGTGAGACAGCTCAGAATGTGGAGCTTGCTCTTTAGGTAGCAAGTCTCGGGGGGAAGGGGCACACTGGGAGGACTGGTGCTGGTAGGAATTGTCTGTCTGCCAAGAGACTGTTCATCAGAGCCAGTCATTTCAAGAGAATACACTGGCGAGGCCTCGTAGAGGAGTCCCCCAAAGACAGAGGCTGGCACCTGCTTCTCAGGGGACATGGTGGTATGAGCATGAGGGGGACAGGCCCTATAGCCTCCTAAGAACTTGGGCCAGGGAAGGTGTGCTCCACGCCCTGGGGTAATTCTTTGAACTCAGACCTAACCTGCTTCTCTTTCTCCTATCCAAAGCTATCGCCTTCTTGGGAATCAAATGCAAGTTACTGATCCCACTTTTACAGGCACAGATGTAATTTCTGAGCTCGTGAAATTCATCTAAGCCAGGGTCTTTCCTGCATGGCCTATGAGTATTAACTATGGTAAGACAATGCATCAGGCATAGCTCCTCCCTTGAATGTGGCCATTCACAGTGTGTCCCCTCCAAGACCCCGCCCTTTCTGGGTCACAGTCCTTGCCAGGTATAGGGATCGAGCAGGTTCCCTCCCCTGCCTGTCACCGAGGCTACTGAGCTCTGGGTCTCAGTGTTTAAGGGGGACAAGAACCACTTGGAGACCACGGGGCGAGGGGGCTGGGAGAGACTGAAATGCCAGGGCAAAGACTCACTTCACCCCACAGTGTCCGTTTGCTGAGCAAGGTCCCAGAAAGGGTGTTTGTCTCACTCCCACAGCTGAGTTGGAGGCAGCTGGCTCCCCACCCTGAGCTGAAAGCAACACTCAGACAGGCAAGCCTCCCGGCAGGGTGGGGACAAAGGAGCATCCCCAGACAGGGAAATGTTGCAACCGACAAGCTGTGAAGTCTGACCTCAGACCCAGTGTGCAGGGTTTGCAGCGGAAAGTTTTAAAAGGTCAACACCCACTCTGGCAGCTGTGGTCTCCAATGCCATCGGGTGGATTCTGGCTCATGGTGAACCCTGGAGTGTCCCAGTAGAGTTGTAATCCATAGATCTTCAATGGCTGGCTTGTAGGAAATCTACTGCCAGGCCTTTCTCCTGAGGCCCCCCTGGGTGGGTCACAGCTGTCAACCTGTGAGTTAGGAGCGGAGCACCTGAATTGTTCCCCCAACCCAGGGGCTCTGGAAGATACAGGTCCACCCATCTCTTCTCCTTTCCAAGATGCGGGCTGTCTGCAGGGCAGTGGTCAGTCCAGTGACTCACTGTTGAGCTCCGGGTTCCCCACAAAAGGCCACCACTGGCCTTTCTAGCTGTGTCGGCACACTCTATGCAGACTCTGAACGTGCCTCAAGGCACATCGTGCCTTCCCGGGAATCTCTCTCTGGCTGTTGCCTCTCACCACTCAGCAAGTCGTTTCTTCCTCATGGGGCCTACCGTAGGACAGGGCAGAGCTGCCCTGTGGGTTTCCCAGACTGACTGTGTACGGGAGGAATCAATCGGCATGCCGGCCATCCTTCAGCAACGTGGAAGAGAGAGTCCGGCCCGACAGGTAGTGTTTTGAGTTACTGCAGGAAAGTGACACATCGTGGGAGACGAACCAGTCAGAATTTAGGAACCTATCTTGAGACAGAGGAATGCTGGTGGCACAGCCGGTCAAGTACTGGGCTACTAAGCAAAAGGTGGGCAGTTCGAACCCACCACCAGCTTTTCCGAGGGAGAAAGCTGAAGCTTTGGACTCGCGGGAAGAGCCACAGCCTCGGGACCCACAGGGGCTGGTCTCCCCTGTCCTGTCTGGTCGCGAGGAGTCGGGATGGATCGTGGCAGTGGGCGTGATGTTGGACAAGGCGCAGGAGCTTGGAACCCGGGCTTCGAAAAGCCACTTGACCTCATCAGGCTCCTTCCCTTGCGTGTCACTGGGGAAAACTGGTAACTCACCCTCAGACAGTAGCTCTGCGGTAAGGAATATGAAAAGGGCCTTTTGAACAATGAAGCCTCACAAGGCATGTTACCACGCTGTGCTCCCTGGGGGCCCTGTCCCCTCAGCCCTGAGGGGTTGTTTGTTTCTGTCAGTTTCCTATGTGCCTTCATTCTTCTTTGTCACCTGACACACCTCCGTGAGCGCAGATAACCCACTGCCCCTGAGGGGAGGTCGACTCATCGTGACTCCCCAGACAGAGGAGAACCCCCTCCGTGGTTTCCAAGGCTGCCGTTGTTGAGACTTTCCCTTTAGATGAAGCTTCAGCTAAACCAAATGTAATTTCTCCCTTGAGATAATTATCAGGTGGTAGCCCTGGTGGCACAGGGGGTTATGAGCACCAGCTCGCCAGTTCAAAACTGCCAGCCGCTCCAAAATAGGAAACTGAGGCTTTCCACGGGCATAGAGAGTTCCAGTGTCAGGCCCGAGAGGGGCAGTTCTACCCTGCCCCGTATGGCTCATTTGAGTTGGGATTTACTCAATGGCAGGGAGGTATTTTGGTTTAATCTTTAGCAAATCAGACTGATACATCTTTCTCTCACAGGATGGCTGGTGGGTCACAACCACCGAACTTTCGAGTACACTCTACCACCCTCTTTTAAGTTGCAGCAAATAGTGCAAACCCAAACCAAACTCAATGCCACCAAGTCAATTCGGACAGAGGAGAAATGCCTCTGTGGATTTCTGAAACTGCAAATCTTTGTGGGAGCCTCCTCTTGCCCCCAGGGTGGTTGGTGGGTTTGAACCGCCAACCTTGTGGCTAGTAGCGCAATGCGTAACCCTTGACACCACCAGGACTCCTTAGCATATAGCATAGGCATGATTATATGGGGGTGTTGTTGGAGACCAGTGAGTCCATTTTGACCCCTAGTAGCCCCACAGGGTAGGGGTTACTGCCTCAGAGGGTGGTCGAACCCATCATCCTCACGGAAGCTTACTGCCAGAGGCTTTCCTCAGGAAAAGCCTCTGAGAGGGTTCAAACCTCTGGCCTTTGGATTTAGCTCAGTGTTCAACGGTTGTGTTGCCAGGGCTCCTCTGTACTGTATACTGTATGTGGACTGTTCCGTGTGTTCCTTATCATGGCTCTTAACAGTGAGGCTCTGGAAGGCCACAGACTTCCACAAACCTCGCTTCCGCCCAGCACTCACGTTTCTCCCACAGCACAGTCTTTCATGGAGCCTGGGGTGACGGCCCTGAGTGCAGTTATTTCCCTCACACCCAGCCGCAGGCTGAGGCGGCCAAGACTCGGCCTCAAATGTGGACAAGCGGGGTACAGGGGGGTAAAGGTGGGGGGGACTTGGGTGTCTGGGGGGGCTGTAAGTGCAGTTAACGTGGAAACCCGGAAAACAAATATACTTGAATTGTGTGGACTCACCCAGGGGGAAACTGGGATTTCATCCTTTAGTCAAACCAATTGTTGGTAACTTGATCCGTTATTACTTAAAATATATATATAATTCACATTCCATGAAATTCTCCCTTCTAAGTGTATAATTCCATGGCTTTTCATCATGATCTCCTATATGTGTACGTGTGTGTATTGCTTTTGAAGCAGTTTAGAACTGCTGAGGAAGACCCCTTCACACAGCAGAGGCACCTGCCTGCTGCGGGGCATGGTGGGTCCATTCCCACATCCTCTGAGAGGGCTGGAGGCCCCAGAGGACTTCCTAGGCTGTACATCTTCCTGAGAGCTGTCTGCCAGGCCGTGCTCCCATGGGGGCTACTGGGTGGGTATATTAAGTGCCATTAAAGTGGCATTGGGGGTTACCCATTTAGCCTCAAAGGTCAGCACTTTGAAACCACCAACTGCTCTGTGCAGGAAACATGAGGCTTTCGATTCCCCTGGAGTTTCAGTCTGGGACACCCACAGGGCAGTTCTACCTTGTCCTCTGGGGTATGGTCAGCACCGAGGGGAAGGCAGTGAATGTAGAGCGGTTTGGGTTTGTTTTGCTTTCAGGAACATCTGCTCCCCTGCCTGGGCGCTGCC